AGCAACCGTGGCGGTTAGGCTTTTCGGAAACTGCAGGCTCTCGCGAAAAGTAGTTATTTAATGACGAATATATAATATATGATATTTCCCCCCGCAAAGAAAAATAGATAAGTTATAAGAAATTGATATAGATAGAAAAAAAAATATTAATTTTTCTATTCTATTTATTTATCTATCTGTTTTATTTTTGCTGTTCTTTATTATTAAGTAGATTAATTCATTTTTACGAGAAAAATCTAATTATCTATCTCCTGCAGAACAATATCAGAATACGCATTATTCTAGAGGTTTAAAGAAATCTTATATTTGCACGCAGGCTGTACATTTCTCAAGTACGAATGCCGTCCTTCTGTAACGTCGAAGGTCTGTTCGGCATTTTCGATGGCGGTTCGAATCAGGAAACGCCCAGTACCCTTCAAGAGATGATTCCGCGCCTCTTGCTGGAGGAGCGAACGATACGGGAGACGTCGAAGGAGTACCTGAAGTACACCTTGTTGTCGGCACACAGAGAGCTCAAAGAGAAGGGTCAGAAGTACGGCGTGGACGCGACTCTCGTCCATGTAGTGAAACTACCATCGCAGCAGGGATACCCAAAATCCTCGATCAAGTACTCGCTGAAGGTGGCTTCCTCCGGGGAGGCAAAAGCCGTCCTCTGTCGAGCGGCCGGTCCCTTGACCCTCGCCGCGTCTAAGAAAGCTAGGGAATCGGTTAAAAATCAGTTAGGCAACGCTGCCATGTTCCCGCTAGTCGTGCCCGATCCGATGTACGAGGAAGCGACGCTGGAGGACGACGACGAGTTCGTCATAGTCGCTAATCGGAGATTATGGGAAGTCCTGAGCATCCAGGAGGCCGTGAGGGAGGCTAGAGCCGAGGCCAGTCCCGTTCTGGCCGCGAAGAGGCTGCAGGATTTGGCGCAAGCTTACGGTGCCGAGGACAATCTGAGCGTCATCGTCGTGAGATTGGCCGGGCCAAGTCCAGGTGACATGGATCAGCTGATGCGCGAGCTGAGACACGTCGTTGGCAAAAATAGAGGTCAAACCGGCGACGGCGCATGTTCCTGCCCTTGTTGCGTGCCGCCAGCGCCTCACAAGCCTCCGGCGGCCTGCTGTTGTCACGCAAGCGAGGGCTATTATCTTAATGGCGTGTTAAAGAATATAGTGAGCAGGTAAGAGTAAAAAACAAGATGACGCAAACATATCATTATATAAAAAGCTTGATGGCGGGGAAAGCGATCGATATGTCGCAAATTTATGCAGCGTGAAAATATACAAGTATATAAAATATGCAACTAAACAGAATACTTGTATCTTCTACCAATTTTATAATTTTTATTATATGTTTAAATATTTTTAAATAATTATGTATTTATATTTCGAAAATTAATATATGTAACACATATATTAATTAATTATAATAAGTATTATAATTAGTTGAGAAGAATCGGTAGCAATTTTTTACAAGGTTCAAGTTTCTGAGATCAAAAACTGGCCCCTCTATAAAAAATGTCTAAATTTCTTTCTATTTTTTTATATTAGAAAAAATCTAATTTTACTGCTATATATAATATTCACAGAAAAAAATTAAAAGATTTTATTCTTCTCGATAAAAATTGTAATAAAATGTATCTTTTCCTTTGCAGATCCAACAAGGTTCACGGAGGTTCCGGAAGATACTTTAAGAATTCTAGATCAACACAAGAGAACGAAAGCCCTTCCTACAGAGACGATCGCAGTTCACCGAGCGGGCAGTCCGATCAAGCTAGCGACAGTACTTTCAAGTCTCGCCATCCATCAGGAAGGATGTGGACGGGAAGCGCGGCTTCCAGAGCGACAAACAAAGCTCACCAGAGCGTTCTCATGCAAGAGACGCGAAAGGTAAACCTCTCGAATCTCTCCATTAATTTGCTCTCAAAAAACTTTATAGAAAAATACACCGACATGCGGCACACAGTGGAAAAGCGTTGTAAAAGTCGCGATTCTTTCTATCGAAGTAGCAAATATTGAAGAAGAAATGTTGACTCACGAAATATACGAGAGTATGATTATAAGGAATATAAACGTAAAAAAAATAAGTTGAATCTATACTTAAGTATGTTACAAATGATTATTGAAAAATATTCTACTACATTATCTGTCATCAAGTTGGATTGTGTCAACAACCACTGCCACAATCAGAAACTAATTTATTCCGTTTACAGCTATCCCACATCCATTTGTGACTCTATTGACTAATGTTAGCAGAATTTTTTTCAATTATCATTTGTGACATACTTAATGATTTGCCTTTGTTTTTATATTCTCCCTCTCTCTCAGGTATCATCGTGCATGCCTACCCAGGAGGACGCTGTCTCGGAGAGATCCGGTGTCCTGAGCGAGGAACAGTTTCGTTGCTGGGAATACATGCTCGAACAAAACACCCAGCTGTTATTCGACAAGGAGCTAGACACGCTGACCAAGGCGCCGTTGCGACAGGCGAGGTCGACGCCGCAGCTAAGCGGCGGCAACTTACCCTTCCTGTCAAAGAGATTCGGCAGCGCGAGATCTTTCAACCCTACGCTACCGCGACCACCGGTTGTCCGTTTCGGCAGCGGACGGAGATTGCTGAACGGTGGACCGAATGCAGCCTATTTCGGCAGCCTGCAGAGGCTGATGCCTTATAATCTGGAGTACGACTTCGCCGTCATCCAAGAGAGAGGCGGCATGGACTCGCTCGAGCAGGACGCCACGAGGATGCAGCAATATTGGGGAGTGGCCACTACCGAGCTATAATGTCGAGGATCTAATACTGACGTAACAAGAGAAACACAACGAGAGAAATAAGATAGAGATGCGAACTCGAACGCAAGTCTACGCGATTTGACGATGAACGAGGATTAAAAGGATGTGCCCTCTTTATAGAATTTTGGGAATCCTACTTCGAAGAGAGAGAAACTTTCGTATTATTGTGATTTCATTGTATATTTAATTGCTATCTTACAACACGACGGCGTAAAGCCATTTGTTTGAAAATCGAAAGACGACAGATTAATTCCGGCGAACAATCCAATAACCGGGAGTAATTTATCTCGGATAACTCGCGACGCGACGGCGCGAAGTAATTGCAGTTCCGTAGTCTAATTATCACATTGGAAAGCGTAATTAATAGAATACAGCGAGACGGAGCGGAACGTCGCGTCGTCAAGCGCAAACGCGCACAATCGCATTGATATCGATCGTACTGATAACAATGACGCGGTAACAACAAGCCGCAAGATTCTTCGTGCAACCAACGTGCAACGAGAGACAGCAGGATTTATAACGTAACTTTGTAATCTACCACAACCGAATCCCGTGTAAATAAAGAGACCCGCGCGCTCCTCTTTACGTTATACAAAGCCCGCTTTATTCCTTTATAACGGTAGATACGCGAAAGATGCTGCGTTATCGCGGAACAACTTTACGACGCGAAAAGACTCCGCAGAGAATAGGCCAAGTAAAAGTAAGAGATTGAAGAAAATTCGTTCATAATCTTTGACTTGACGTTTTCTCTTTCTCTTTTTTTTTGATATTGTCAATTTCTCGCGTGGATTTCCTTTTACGTCGTTTCGCGTTATTTCGTAAATCTCTATTATATCCAATTCGTTCTTCCATATTTTTTTACCACGTGTTTCGTCTCTTTTTTTCATAAAGTTTTAGAATTATATTTTGTACATACAGGAGATTCTCTCTTATATTTACGCATACAAGTATAATTTATGATATATTCGTATGCTGTGTAACACTTTTTTACGATAAGTTGTCGATAATGCCGAGAAATACGTGATACTAATGGACGCAATGTGCCGGACGATCTCGCGCTTTCAACGTTGCAACAATACGTGCGATATCATGTGTCGATATCTTGGCTTACAATATACAGGGTTGTTTCTAATGAATCGCGTCATCTCATTTACGAGATAATTCATTTTGTGTGAAATGTTATATTGAGTTGATTAAAATATTGATTGATACTTTTTTTTTATACGAAAGACCGTTAAATTGTGAAAAATTAAACTCTGATACTTAAGTCAACAATCTTACATTTTTCATTTCATAGAGAGAAATCTAGGATTTTCCACAAATCTAATAGCATAACGGTTGATAAATTAAAATTTCTCATCATCAATTCTTTTCGATTTTCAATAAGCAATATTCAACACATTCATAAAAACTTTTGTTTAATAACAGAAGAGCGAGACTGATCAGAGATACCGTATATTACGAGAAAAATTAAAGTCGCGTTATGAAAAAAACGATCTAAGAGCATGCTTCCGAAATGAATTCATCATTTTTTCATATCTCTACTGCATGCGTTTCGTTTAATCACACATATTTTATTCCTTCCTTCGATCGGAATTATGCTCTTTGATTACGAGAAAAATCATACAATGAAATTATTTTTTATAAATATAAAGATATTTTTGTATTTTTTAACGTAATGTAGAATGTGTCCCGGAAAAAGTATGTTCCAATAACAGATTTAATATATATTTGTCTAAAGTGTGAGAATATCCTTCAAATTTAAAGACAGAGTTAGTTGAAGAACAAATAAAATTTACCATAAAAAATTAATTAAACTGATTAATGTAGCATAATATAAAATAGCAAAAACCTTCTAAATTGATGATATCTGATACTTGATATATGCATACATATATATATATAAATCAAATTTTTTAAATAAATGTTATTTTGTAAAAATACTAAACAAACAAACACAAATATTCTATATATCAAATGCTGCTGTCGGTACATACATTCTCCGGATCATTATGTAAAAAAATTGTACCTGAGGCTGGACCAAATAAATTATGGCACGCAGTCACCCATTGTTAACGCAGAACAAATGAACTATACGTCGCAAATAACGGCGTATTCAACATTTAACGAGAATATTCAACGTTTTTATATGCGTTACCAAAATTTTGCGTTTAAAACTTCAAATATTTAACATTATTCAAATATTTAAAATTTATATGAGCACATCGAGAAAAGGCAAAAACGATGTCACGATTTTATTTATTTGTCATATTTTTTGTCGTTCTCATTATCTAATCGAGATTTACTTTCTCAACCGCGTGTGCAATATAATTTCTCTCTCATTCTTCTCTTGTTTTTTTCTAAAATTTCAAAAAGCGATCAAATTCATCTAAAGTCGCGAAAAGAACTAAATTGCGAAAGAGACTGAAAGAATTTATTAAAAAAGAACAGAGAGATTCATGAGAGGTAGAACTCGCGCGTATCTACTGATTGATCTTAAACACGCCATATTATTGGTTATATTCTAATTTGACTTCCCGTCTATACTTGTATGTCCGCACAATCGTGTAATCGCTCCCTTCCGCGACTTGATCGCGGTGAGTATAAAGTCAATAGACGATGATATTTTCGAGACACGTTTGATCGCAACTGTCTATCCGTCGATTAATTTCTTCCCGTCGACAGTTATTATGTTTTATTTGTAGCGCGCTATTCCGCCGATATCGAGTTTTTCTATCCGAGTCGTGATAAGAAGCCAGACGACAGATTAAATAAAGCAAGACTTTTTGCCTTTGTATATATGAAAATTTGTTCCAGATAAAATGTACAAAATGATGATAAAAAGAGAGAGCGAAAGAGAGAGTATTGCTTGAAGATTTCGAAGAGTTTACTTTTTTTCTGCAAAAATCTCAACCGAAGCTTAATTGACATAATATTTAAGATAAAAAATTGAAGAATTGAAAAATTATTATAAAATTTAAAAAATTAGAAAGAAGAATATTACAAAATTTTATGTCCCAATTAATTTCTAATTGGAGATTAGAGACAAAAATTTTATTTACAAGGGGAAAAGACAGAGGGGATCTTTATGTATGCCGAAAAATATGTATTAAAAAAGAAATAAGCTGATGACCGATGATTTAATAATAGAGAATTAAAAACCAAAAAATTAAGACATATGTTTTAATACTTTCATATGTTTTAATACTTCAATACTTGAATGTATATATAAATTTGTAGCAAAAAATAATATTCTTTCCCGTTTTATTTAAATCTATGAAAAATTCAAATATTCTTTTTCCATACACCAAAAATATAAAGTAAAAAAAAAACATAATATATAGCTTTTATAATCGCACGTAACGGAAACTAAACTTATTGATTCAGCAGGTGCTTTCTTCGAACGAGTCCGAGAGCACGATAAGCAGTTTTTTTTATCGAACTTTAGAATACGCCAATTTATTTGCTGTTTTCGACGACTGAAATTATGCATGATAAATTGTGATCTATTTTTATATACGCAATTCTCTTCATTATTAAAACGTAAAATATGCCCCTATCCTATCTTAATATTATTAATAAGAATCATTTTCAATAACAGCAAAAATAATTTCTCAATTATTTCAAAATAATAATTTATTGTTATTTTGCCACAAGTTTCCTTCAAAGAACCACAAAGATAAAAAAAAATTCAAAACGCAACATAATTCAATTAATTTATACGTTCGCCTAATTTTTTATTATTTTTTTACGGAACATATCTTATTAATTTGTTTAATCGGATCTAGAAATAACAACAAAGCCAGGTATGCTCTTTATTAATTTTAATACAAAATTTCGTAAATTGTGAGTAATATTCAGTTAATGACTATAACAATAATTAGATATGACTGAGGAAAAAGAGAATGACTCATATGTTATGTCTTCATGTCGACATCTTTAAAAACACAACTGTATAAGAATAACAATTTTATAAATTTTCAACGATACACGGATATAAATGATGCAATAAGCGACAGAAAACATCGTTTGTGTCGATATTTATCGCACAGACGAAATGTATAAAAAGAAAGGATAAGTATGTTGGACTCGTGTCCTGATAAGCGCTAATTGTAGTAGCGCTAAAGTTGAGAAACAAAACGCATTACGAAAACACAACACAGACTATAGAAAAATAGAATTTTGAAACTATATTGCTCTAATAAACTCATCAACATATCTTAAAAGCCAAATTAGGACGAGAAACAGAGGGAGAAAGAACGCGAAATTTTTAAACAGTTAAATACTTTGATGATATTATCGAAGAATCGACAATAATCTTGAGATATCGCAATACTACCGTAATGTCAGATTTTTTTTCCATTTTTTTCGATATATCGATATTTTCTGATATTACAATATTCTTAATAATAAAACTTTATCGCCGAAATTAGCGCGAGTATCGATACTTAATGTAGCGACATTATGGTTGTGTAAGATATATGTATACCTGTAACCCCGCATATATAAGAGAGTGCGACTTATTCCTGCATACAACTGTCGACATCATCGCTCGTGTATATAACGGGTAGTCGAAGAGAAGGGAAACCCAAGAAGCGCCAAGCATCTACCTAATGCGAAATGCGAGTGCGAAACTAGTAGCTCTCGAGCATTCGCGCGCGTCGGAACGTACGTACGATCGATTATTTTCTCTCTCATTTTCTCTTTTTTTTTTTTTTGTTTTACATTCGCGACTTGCAACTTTGCTAGTAGCGGAAATTAAACCGGTTGACTGAAACAAACCCGTTCCTGGAAAATAAAAACCCGTTTGTCAACATTGACGCAATCGAAAAGGTGGCGATGATCGATAGTGTCGCGGACCAGTGCACGATGCAACCTACTGGAAGTTAGCACGTGTGGAAAATTATTTTTGCAGGTGAGTAATGAAAAAATGACATCGTTTCGTTATTGAACAAATGGCTTGACCAGAGAAAATATTGATGTCTGAGAAAAACGCGAGTCGAAATTATTAGTATTTGAAAAAATCGCAGTTTACTCTCTATTAACACACTTTTTTATATCTCTACAAATTACTTTTGTATATCTCTATATATTTTTTATATCTCTATAAATTATTTTTGTATATTTATATAAATTATGTTAATTATATTGTGCATTTAATTTTTTCTTGTTATACACATCGCAATGCACATGAATACTCTTATATAAGTGATTGCATAAAGGCAAATTGCATTAATTTATTATTACAACAATATTTTTTTATAACGAAATATTGATAAATATTTTGATAAATTGATATTAAAGAAAATATCGATTAAAATGCTGATACTTGTAGTATTAAAGCCATTTTAATGCGATATAAAGCGCTCATATAAAGTCAAGGTTCTGATTAACATTTTATTTATACGTAAGTCTCGATCAATTGAAAAAGCCTACTTATAAATTTTTTTAGAGTATCCCAAGAGTATCGCCATTTTTTCAATTCTATATCCGAAATAGAATAAAAATTTTTCTAAAATAAAAATGTAGAAGTCACTGTTTCAAGCAATTTTTCATATTTTTAAATAGAAAAGCGCATAAATATCCTCGTAATTCTTTTATATTTAAAAGTGTGAAATTTTGTAAAAAAGGATTCATTTAAAATTGCACGAAATATTGGCACAAAGAAGAGTTTATTGCGTCCGTTAGGTAGTGTATCGCGTTAGTACGTCAATGTGTTTCGGACGAGCAGTATGACATATCATAAGTAAGACATTTAAAGAGCGGACGAACTTCTCGGTCGATAGACTTTGAACTCTTGCGAGGATGACGGGAAAATAGACCGCAGCTGATTCGTCATAAACAACTTTCCCGATTGCGCGTCATATGACAGCCACGATAACGACGCGAATGACGTTTCTGAAATCTTGGCACGAATCATATTTTCTCTCCATTACGAGATACAATTGGATATAATGGATACAATAAATAACTAAATATTTGCGCTGATCCTTTTTAAAATTTTTACGAAATATATCGTGCAAAAATAGATTCAAGATTTGAAATGGCAGTCATATTCTGATTTGACATTATTTTACATTATTTCTGAATATATTTTGGTACCAAAAAATATTTACTTTCTCTTCTTTAATTGTATTTTAGTTAAACAATTAAATATATTTATCTAATCACACACACACACACACACACACACACATCTGTACTTTACGCAAATAATTATTTATCTAAAAAAACAAATTTTTTTACTATGTATATATATAGATTATCAATTTAACTAAAATATAAAGATAAATTATCAGTTTAATTAATATAATAAATTATTAATTGAATTTACATAAAGCAAATATGTGTGTTTATAGATAAAGATTTAATTGTTTACTAAGATTAAAGAAGATAACACAAATATTATATTTTTTACAATCCAATTAAATTATAGTTTTCTCGGTGTCGTTGCAAATCTATTTTAATTTTTATAAAAAAAAATATTTTATATGATATAAAATAATATAAAATTATTTTATATACTATAAAATAACTATGAAATAGAATCACGTATAGTATCGTTTAAAAATATAAATTTAAATTTAAATGAAAAAACGAATCGCATTTTTATCGATAAATAAATCACATTTTGAAAATCTCGGAAAGGTAGCAAAATTATCGAACATACATTCTATAAAAATTTAATATTTACAATAGAAAAGCATATCATTTTTTCTCGATTATGTCAATATTTTTTTACCTAATTTTAGCTTTTCGGTCTTTTTAAGTAACATTATTTGTTTCCTCACATTTTCTCACAGCCATCACAGCATGATAAATGTGAAGAAAGCCTTGAAAAGATCAACTTCTAGAAGGAAATTGTCAATCTAAAAGAATTAACTTCAAATTTCGTCTCTAGAATACATTTTCTATCGAAAATATTTTTGCTAAGAAAAGAAGGAACAAAAGTTTCTATAACGTCAAAAGCATAATTATTTATCTAAAAAAACAAATTTTTTTACTATGTATATATATAGATTATCAATTTAACTAAAATATAAAGATAAATTATCAGTTTAATTAATATAATAAATTATTAATTGAATTTACATAAAGCAAATATGTGTGTTTATAGATAAAGATTTAATTGTTTACTAAGATTAAAGAAGATAACACAAATATTATATTTTTTACAATCCAATTAAATTATAGTTTTCTCGGTGTCGTTGCAAATCTATTTTAATTTTTATAAAAAAAAATATTTTATATGATATAAAATAATATAAAATTATTTTATATACTATAAAATAACTATGAAATAGAATCACGTATAGTATCGTTTAAAAATATAAATTTAAATTTAAATGAAAAAACGAATCGCATTTTTATCGATAAATAAATCACATTTTGAAAATCTCGGAAAGGTAGCAAAATTATCGAACATACATTCTATAAAAATTTAATATTTACAATAGAAAAGCATATCATTTTTTCTCGATTATGTCAATATTTTTTTACCTAATTTTAGCTTTTCGGTCTTTTTAAGTAACATTATTTGTTTCCTCACATTTTCTCACAGCCATCACAGCATGATAAATGTGAAGAAAGCCTTGAAAAGATCAACTTATAGAAGGAAATTGTGTCAATCTAAAAGAATTAACTTCAAATTTCGTCTCTAGAATACATTTTCTATCGAAAATATTTTTGCTAAGAAAAGAAGGAACAAAAGTTTCTATAACGTCAAAAGCATTTATAAAGCGTGAAAAAATAGCTTTATGGTTGGCTAAATAATAAAAGCTATTGTAAATTCTCATAGGCATGTCAAACCTGCGTAGCAGGTAGTGGACAAAATAGCTTGTAGCAATGAACAAAAGATCGTTAAGGATCTTCGGATTTTTGGACAAGATTTTTACATTATTTTTTCGTGTCAGCTGCGATTGTGATACATATAACAATTTGTTCGAGTTTTATCATAGTTGAGAGACTTTCTCCTGGAATTTTTATACATTAAAATTTTCATATTCCGATTAACGCAAAATAATAGTAATATAATAAGAATGTAATTAAATAATACAAAAGAGAAAAAAAAACCCTTATAAGCGCGGATATTACGTTGTTGCAATTTACATTGTAATTTTCAATTTCCAAGATTTTAAAGTTTTAAATTATTTAGTAAAGAGAAAGGCAGGATAACAATTTAATCATTTAATAATAGTTTGATGCAACAAAGCTACTTAACAAAAATGTGGAAGAATTAAACCAAACGGATATAATAAGCCGTATTAAAATCCTGTTTGCATAAATATATATTATAATATAATATATTTGCATAAATATAATATAATATAATATATGTATTTGCATGAATATAATATAATGTTTTACATTGGTTATGCACAACACACATAGTCACGGAGAGAATAAATAAAAATATTTAGTTCTTGAAAACACATGATGTAACGAAAATATGTCTTACGATAACAGATCTGATCAAAATGCCAAAACAACTGAAGAATTTTGGCACTTATGACTTCACGAGAAACTTCATTTCTTGCTAATTATATAAACAGCAAACAAAATATAAAACGCGAATACGTATCAATGTTTTTCTCGTCGACATTTTGATTAATATAATGCAGTTGGATAGATATGAAATAAAAATACATCAAAAATCTTAGTGTATATAGTTTCTCTACGTTACAAACAATATAAAATAAAAGAGTTTTCTTCGAAAAAATAGAAACTCGTTCCTTAATTAGATTCTCGCGGCTTTAATTTTACCGAAATTTGTATTCGAGTCTTCTCTTTATCGAGTCATCTTTATGTATATATGTTAATTAATTTTAGTTATGTTAGTATGTCTTATGTATATGTTAGTTAATTTGGGCAAGCTTTTTGTTTTAATTTAAAAAAACATCGATAATATATTTAGAATATATTTAAAATATTTTTCTTTTACCATAGAAGAGAGGTATCTAGCATATACATATATAAATATACGTATAAGATCAAATATATATATATGTACTCAATGTTTTTAATTAGCTCATCATATATATGCGATAATTACACTAGCACTGTCATTAGCAGTATTAACATATAAAAAATATAATTAAACGTGTTTATTTGTTGTATCAAATCGTCGTATTCGAAATTACGAAATATCTGATGTGTCATTTTTATAACTTGTTAGTAATAATTGCAAAAAACATACGGCTTTGTCAGACGTCTTCCCAATTAATCCGATAAGTCTTGACATAAAACCAATACACGTAAGCACGATAGTAAGTGTTATTAAATGTCATGATAATCCGTGAATTGTAATAAATCGTCCCACTACTCTAAATGGCCAACGTAATCAATCGCGATAAATTGATAATGATGACGTTATGTGAACATTCTGTAAGAACGTGATGAAAATAATGGTGACTTGCAAAAAGATCGATTTGCTGAAACGCAGTTAATATAGAAAACGCGCGAAAATCATGCTTCATCAAATATTAATCTCCATATCTGATATAATAAATATTTCAGATATTAATTAATATTCACAGAGTTTAAAGATATCCAAGAAATTTCCTTGGATATTGATAGAAAATATGTAGATATTCTCCGACATCTTTGATCTTTAAACTTGTTTTCATAACATATTTGTATACATATATATTCATATCCCAGAAATTTTATAAAAATAAAATCAGGATATTTATAATATTCAAATCAAAATAAATTGGGATGTCATATGATATATGCTTTAAGATAAATAAAAATATCTTTGCGTATTATTTCGATTTATAATATCATTTACAAGTGCATTTTAATGTTAGTATTTCTATAAAGAATTCTTACAAAAAGTTTTAACTCTCTCAGTTGATTGTTACATGGCAGGGAAATTTCCTGAAGAATTTCTAATCTTTCCGGAAAATTGTTTCGCGAAAAATTCGCCGTATCATTTCTAACATCATATCTCTCCTTCATGTCACTTTTGATTAAAATCCCTCTCTCGTAACACGCACACGTGTATTATTTCTATACCTATATCTCGCTCCGATTTTATTTCTCATCCGGCACTTACGATTTAGAACCTTTTACGAACTGCTCGTGACGTCACGCTTACGCACGATAAATGAACTTTGGTTAAGCATTTCTCATGCATTCAACGCATTATCACATTCCAATTTTTATTTACATAGCAAATACATCGACTACAGCGATCGCTTATTGCGTATGCTATTATTCACGTATCGCTAAAAATGTTTTTTTTCTCTTTTTTCGAGGAAAGAGAGACATATGTGTAGAGAGAGAGCGAGTTAAATTCATTATTTCAATGCTTATTTATTTGAGCACACCAAATACTTTAACAGAGTTTCAGTAAAGAAGTATTCATATATCATATATCATCTCGCGGTCGTTTCCCATTTTTACTTCCCAAGTAAATTTATTTTTCACTTACATTTATCGGCAACATGGCGGGCAGTTGCGTCAACAAGGGAGGAAGCCTGAAGAAAATTATATGTAATTTCGTAGTCCACGTCGGATCTGAAAATCGGATATTTATATTAAACGCTACATTTAAAATACTCGTATAAATATGGATTGAAATAGTATTACAATCGTAATTAGAACTGTGCAATCTGCAACTCGTACTGAAAAAAGATATATGTAAAATAACTCGTATAGTATTACACGTTCGATATCGCTGATCGACCGCATACATTGATGTATTTCCTTTTTGAATTATGCAGCGGCTCTTATCATATAGCTCTCTCTTCCCTGCCACTTAATGCGTGCAATTTTTAGTAACGAATGCTTTCCTGTCGACTATATACATTAGCTTGCTACGCGAATTAGAATCGAGTATAATTTCGAGATTGGTTTTGCGCGTTTATTCTTTCGATGCAGAAATCTCGAAATCGCCAAACAACGCGCGGCGTCTAGAGTCTAAATAAGGCTATCGAATTGTTCAAATAAATATATCCTTCGATATTTTTTAGATATTCCTCTGTTGTTTGAAAAAACACTTTTATTAAACGTATATAATCGTACATTTTTTACCTGTTTTGTATCTGATCTTATATTTCTCATTTATATACGTTGATGCTCGTGATTTTATTTACCGTCTTCTTCACACATCTGCATCCACTTTGAATCTAAACTGTTTCATACAGTCGTTGAGCGCGTCATACTTAGATGTCGCACTACATCACGATTCAGATCTAGTCTGAACAGTTTTCAATGTGAAGTACTTGACACTTATAAAAGAGGTCAAAGATGAGATAAAAATAACAGCTTACACAATATTTAATCAATCGTTAAAAAAATTATGATTTATAATATCAAAGAACAAAGAAATCTTCGTCTCTTAATTTTGGCCTGATGATTGATCAATCACGTATGATTCAGAGTATTTGTCACGTCAAGCATAAATAAGCGTAGTATCGATATAATTATCGATTAAAAAATATAATCATATTTTAATCGGTTTAATATTGTGCGAGCTGTTATTTTTATTTTTCAATTTTATCTTTGACACCGACGAGATACTATTAAAGACCGTCAGCCCTGGGTAAAATTTTGTGACCATCAAGTGGGCCCGGTGGGCCCGGAGGTAATTGAAGAATGTTGACATTACCGGCCGTTTGATAGAATCGAAGATAATTACGGTTATTTTACTTCATCCAGTTATTATTTTATTATCGAAAACACCGACGAGATATCATTAGAGACCGATGGTCTTATAGGATTTAGCAAATTACTGGTAAAAAAACTCGCCACGCGGTACTGTAGGTAAGTAAATCTTTGCATTGTCGATAATAAAACAGTAAATTTACAATAAAATGTTTATTTTGTTGTTCTTGAGGCAGTTATATAAAAGATCTATACATTTTGCTTCCTCATAGAGGAAGCTTTGTTTTTGATAATAAAACAATAACTGGATGAACTAAAATAACGCGTAGCGAGTTTTTTTTCCAGTCACACTAAATCCCATAAGACCACCGGTCTTTAATGATATTTCGTCGGTGCCACCGGTCTTTAATGATATTTCGTCGGTGTCTTTGATCTTTCACAAGTATACCTATTTGCAAAAACGCACTCTAGCGGTGCATCGATGTAATCAATTTTGGCGCGGATAGAAAAGTATTCCGATGCACGCTCCTCTATATACAGTAGCTTATCTATGGACAAACGACCGAATTGTCGCATTGTTGCCTGTCGCATCTCGCGTCGCGCGTTGCGCGTCGCCATCGTAGCGTATTCTCTCGTACAGTGTTGTTGTTCGGGCCGGGATTTTTCGCGCATGCGTGGCAAACGCGGTACCAGTACAGTGCTTAGTTGAATAAAAAAGAGTACCATTAATCACCCGTGCAAAAATATCTAATAATTGTTAAAAATGTATGAGAAAAATATTAAATATTTAAATAAATAAATATATATATATATATATATATAAAATTCTAAGCTGAAAAAGGAAAGAGGGTAATAAAATAATTAATTAAAAACACATTTTTATGCAAACGAAAATAAAATATTTTATTTTTGGCAGAATCTCATAGAATACCAACATTTGTTGCACGGGTAAGGAAAACTGCCAAAAACCTCACCAGTATTCATACAAAAATACAAAAAATAAAAATATTTATTTATAAAAATGAACATAAATAAAATTTATCAAATATAAAAACATTATCTTAAAATTATCCTCATGCAGCCATGCATTTTGAAAGTCTCTAACTTTCGGTCGTTTAATTGCTCCTTTTCTTTGCGCATGCATTATTTATAAATATACTTATCTACTCACCTTAACCTAGCCTGTCCTTCTTGCCGGGCCCGCCAAGACTTTCGCGCCCAAACACTACTCCTCTTATATACACCGCTGCTTCGGCTGCCATCTACCACGCATGCGCGAGAAAACCCGGCCCGAACAACAACACTGCTCTCGTATTGTTTCAGTTCGTGCACGCGCCAGCATGCGCTCTGTCGTATTCATTACGCCAAGACGCGAGCATTACAGTCACGATTATGTCGAGTCCCGCGAAGAATCCGAAAGGACCATCGCAATCGTTCGTTAAATAACGCGAGTCGCCGGACGGCGAGGATTGGGTGAAAACGGCAGACTCCGAGAGCCTCTTGGAACGGAGTCGTCCGAGTCGAGACACCACGTCGTAAGTAGCTTCGTTCGCGAATTAGAGGTAGAGAATGTTCAGTGAGGAGAAAAGCAAAAGGGAAAGGGAGAAGGGAGTCTTATTAAATTCCGGGGCTCCGCGAAAGAGATAAGCATCGAAGAACACTTTCCACGAGTGAAAGTGCGAGATCTCTCATCTCGTCGAGAGTCGTGAGTCCAGTTTACGAAGCTTGAAGGCTTGAAGTTTATCGCAAAATTAAAGAACCTTGTTTAATGAACGTTGCTACTCGCGATCGCTCTCTCGGAGAGTGAAAATTCTCAAGGTCTCGAAAGAATATGCTTGTTTGAAAAAGAAAATCTTGACGTTTTCTTTTGTTCGCTCTCTATTAACTTGTCACGTTTCCGCTCGTTATCGCGCGATCGAATTATTTGTCTCTCGTGTGTATTTGCATATAGTCGCATACCATCGCGTGCTGAAACTGTCGAAACATCAGAATCAATCTGCGCTATGCATATAACGATTTATTACGTCGATCGTGGCTCGTGTAGAACGGTATGTACATACATATCGTGTTGCGAAAACGATTCTTTAGATGACACAGCCACGTCAGTGCGTGCGAGGATATGTCAATGACATATTTCCTCCCCCATTATGTGTAGGAAAAGCAGAGCAAATTCGAAGCTTCTGCGAAACATATTCTAAAAGTCACGAATAATATTTTAGAAATATATATTGACGTGCTATTTGTGGTCTTGAATCATTTTATAAAAATAACACCTTTGTTCTCTCTTTAAATACACTTAGCTACACATAGGTTTATATTATACGTAGCGTTGTCTTGGCTGATTAATTTATAAAGCGTATATCGGTAGAGTCTGCACAAGAAGAAGAGAGATATGAGATATATTGTAGTAGTAATCTAAATTCTAAATGACTCATCATAAAATGTTTACGTATTCAATTATGTGCATGCTGATATATTTGATATGGAAATTTATACTGTAAGAGAGAGAGGATTTTTATGAGGATAATTCTTAGAAAGACATTTCTGAGTATATATTATTTTTTAAACCGATAGACTTGTTTACAAGACATTTGCTTTAATATACAGAATGCGATTAGTTTTAGTAATTAATAAGAGGATAGAATTTTCTATAAAAATGAGAGATTATAAAATAACAATTTTACTTTTTATCACTATAAAAAATTATATTGGCATTACTTAAGTTAATGATTGAGAAAAATATTATTGCATTCAACAGAATATAACAGAATATCATGTAGTGATAACGGTTTTTAGAGTGAAAAAACGAGGAGGATATCAGGCGCCACTTGAATCTAGCATCACCGAAGTGGCGGCCACACAAAGCTCCGATATGAAGGGATCTAAGAGAGACTGGATTTTTAGAGTCCAGGTAATTTAAAAACGCTATAATTTCTGCTTTATTATATCTTTGAACATTAGTAAAGAAAAAAAAAAGAGAAAGAAAACCAGAAACACGTTTGACTTGCGTTTAGTAATTATAAATTGCTTTAAATGTAAAGGTGCCCAACCTGGAAAAAAATGAAGTTGTTTATGTGGTTGGAAATCTGCCTGAATTGGGTGCCTGGAATCACAACCAGGCTATCCTAATGTCACAGGAGCATAGCAGTCGCACAGAGTCCCCTGCATTGTTTGACAATAATAGCAGTGGGGATTTCTATAAAGATGATGGGTGTGAAAGCAATGCAACTGACAGCGTATTTGTTGGCGAAGAAGAGTAAGTATATATATGCTGTGTGTGTGAGGAGACATTATTTCTTCTAATTGCGAAAATTAAATCTTCTTTCTTGTCGAATTTTAATCTTTCTTTTTTATTCTCTTTGCAAAAGCTTATATTGGACATTGTAATCAATGCTTAAAAAACAAACAATTTTGTTCTATAATTTGGAAACAAGAAATAAATGTTACAATTGTGCAATAAATATTTTTAATATTTGTATGAAATAAAATTTTCAGGGATGGCCGAATATTCTCGCAAAAGGTTGCTCTTCCCGTCGACACTAATATCGAATTCCGATATTTTGTAGCTGTCATCTGTCAATCAAATGGCACTAAAAACTCAGCTAAAACTCTGATTATCCGCAGATGGGAAACTCATATGACACCAAGATTAATTAGAAAAAATAGTATGTATATATTTTTTTTTATAATTTATATGTAACAAAAATATGTTAACTTGAATCATATTAATTATGTATATAATCAAACAATTTTTACCTTATAGTACCAAGCAATTTTGATAATGACACATTACCAGAGCCTGATAAATTTGGCTATCACAATAATTACTACAAAATTGAACGAGGCTGGTTAACAGATGAAACTGTGATACAATTTAAACTATTCAACAATCCTATTAAACTCTGGAAGAATCGGCTTCAAAATAGAAAAGTTCATATTAAGGTATGTTATAATTTTAGCCATTTTGTATTTCTATTCACTTTGCTATTCCTCTTTTTTTCACATTTTATAATTTTAAAGGAAAATAATAAATTATTTATTTTCAACATATAAATATATTAGAAGAACAGATATTGTGAATTAAGCTTTTTCTCAGTATTTTTTTTTAAATCAAACGATATTTTATGTTTCTGTTACAGATGACACCTGTAAATCTAGTTAGACACAATTCCTTAGAATTGCAACAGTTTGGGGGCGACTGTGTAGACGATAGTCTTTCTATGGATACACAAGATGTTGTTGATCAACCTGCCTTTACGAGTATTACGGAAATCGCTGTATGTATAAAATCTCAAATATCTTTCTATATTATTAATAAATGCATAAAAATTAAATGATACATACGTTTCTAGGTGATGAACGACGAAGAGGCTAAATTCAAATCGCAGGAGCAATTCGGCCGTCCTTACAATGAAGATGAATTTTTAATTTTCAACGTTGCTGTTCGGTATCCCGAAACAATTGTAAGTTTCCACGTAGATAGTCTTTTCATTAGGGCATCATATACTATATACACAGTTATGTGAAAATCATTAGCTAGGATTTATTGTTTGCATTGCTTGCGATTTCGACAAACATTAAACGATCAGTTTGTAGTTTTTGCGTTCAAAAATATTACATTCGTCTCTCCAAGGAACAACTACAATTTCAAAATCAAAAATGAAATCAAAAATACACCAATGTTCCCTCAATAACCCCTAACCCTTTATGTAAAATTTGTTTACTTGCATTCCATTTTTCATGAGAAACTCATGCTCAAAAAGAGAAAGCAAAAAAGTCGTTGGCATGACAGAGCAATAAAGTACTAGTTAATGACGGACTCACAAAACAGTACACTAAGAATACGCATTGACCATGCTATGTGAGTTTTCAGTAGACCACGAATAGGACGGCCACGTCTCCTCTTCTTGTTCGAATTATTTGGTAAACGATAATTAAACTTGTCCAGCAGCTATCTCCCTCCTCGGAAATGCCAGCAGCGATGTGCTCGCGCGCGATGTCCAGTCACGGGGAACACGAAGACGTCCTGTTCGACTTGTACAAAAGCAAGACCTCTGGTGCAAATGATGATGCTAACATACAATCTGGTGTATTGATGCTAAAAAGCATCGTCTACCACTTTACATCTGTGTCACATGACATCACACAGAGATATGATGGTTTTGATTGTCGTTTATCCTATCAGACCCATCCTTCTGGCTGGTCTCTCGTAAATCGTCCCGCTTTTTCTCTCGCTTGAAATCGAGACTTTATGTATGCACATTGTACGACAAATGGAATTGCACTCGTTTGTTCCAACTTCAGACAATTAATTTGTTTAATTGTCGATTTACGCGAGTCGCGCAGCCGTTCCGTAAACTCCTAAAAAATGTTGCGATATCAACGCTATCACATCTCATATCCATCTGTGTGCGTCGAAAATGGTGAGATTCCCATCACTCCTATATCCTTTTAGTATTACTACTAATATTTTCTAGCTCTGACCGTCTTCTTCTACATACCGTACGTGCCACCGCTGCGCGGCCAATGCCAGAATCTATGCTGTCAGAATATCTTCTGAATCCGAATTGCAAACGTTGCTGACTCGCTCTTTCTAATCTGTTATTTCTATCTTCATTTCACTCTCGAAATTTAACATATGAATAATCTCGGCAGGTGCGGGGTAACACGCATTGCACGCGTCACCAATGGCGGTGTACAACATTTGGCAATTTATTGATCCGATTCATTACCAGGAATTTGTTGCTCTTATGCCTACCAACGATTCTATAAGCTTTCAATTAAAATTTTCAATTATCATGAAATATGTAACGGAAGCTTTAGACAATTTAGTTTATCTAATATCATTTGATTAAGGAATATTCGCAAGCTAACGTCTCGTTGCGAACGTTTCAGAACAAATGTAAATCGTTTGTTGTGGCAAAGAATAAAACAAAATTCTTAATTCGAATAATAAATATAATTAAAACATTATTGTTTTTATTTGCCTCTATTGTCCTTGATCACAAGACATATGATATTAATATTAAAGCAAGTAGGAAAAATATGGATGAGCTAAAATTGAAAGAAACATTTGATGTTGTTCAAAGTGTTCTAGGGTCTTTTCGATGAAGCATTGAGTAGACTTTTTTTCCAGGCATACTTAGTGGACTACTATGTGTACAGCTCAAGGTGTTTCCCAGGAGAACCACCAAATCATATTGGTTTCAGCTATATCCTGCCTAGTACTTTACAATCCAGTGTCGGACTTCTCACTGTACCAATTACTAGTACAAAACACAGACCTATTGGTAAGTATGCGAATACTGTGAAAAATATATGTAAAAAGATTTTTTATTTCTTTATTTAATTATCGCTTTGAAATTGAATAACATTTAATATCACATTTGTATGATTTAAAAGAGCAAATTCTTGGATATATACATATATCGATTTTTTTCTTAGCAAAAATATCTAGGAAAGTCATCATATATTTTATTATTTAATCTCCAATTAAAATTCTATTAAATTCCACAAAGTATAGCTTATAAAAGTCCTTCTTTTTCGATACTTGTACAATTCAGAAGTTATTGATGCGTCAACATTTTCGCTAAGGAATCGACTGATTCACATTTTTATGTGGATAATGGTAATCTCATACTCATACATATTATTTTCTTTTATATTGTAGGGCAATTGACAGTGGAGTATGTCGTCATAAAACCAATTCCGGACTACCCATGGGACACAAGCATTTCGTATGCGAAACACTGGGAACAACGATGGTCGGGCTTGGATGTAGGACATAGAGGACTTGGTACATCTTTCAAGTTTGAAATGAAGAAGTGAGTTGATATATATTGTATATATATATCTATATATATATATACGTGTCTAAAAAACTACTTATTCGTCATATGTTACAGATAAAACTAGAATTCGTGTTCTCACGATTGACATATAATCTTGCAAGAAATTTTTTTTTTAGTATACATTGTGTATCTAATTCGACATTTCTTTATAGCTGCGCTAACGTACGCGAGAATACAATCGCGTCTCTGAAGACCGCATCGCATCACGGTGCGGACATGGTCGAATTTGATGTGCAATTATCGAAGGATCTTATACCTGTGATCTACCACGACTTTTACGTATCCATCTCAATGAAACGTAAAAAGCAATCAGAGGCTATGGATATGCTGGAAATACCCGTTAAGGATCTTACTTTGGAGCAGCTGCATCTACTCAAGGTATCGACTAGCCACGATAACTTTTCTTATGTCTCTGATATTATGCATTTTCATTTTTTGCATATTTTTGAAGAATATGTATATATGTTTAATATATATTCTTTTTCTATCTTTTTTTTAATATTTTGTGTAACTTTCAGGTTCATAATATATATATATATATGTATATAATTTTCGGCAAGTACTATCTATAGCGATTGATAATTACGATTTATAGATTTATTTTCGATAATGTGAGAATTTTACATTTACAGAAAATATTTATTTGCTAAATATACGTTTAAAAATTAATATTGTGATTAATGAAAACAGCAGAAGAAGAGAACATGCTGAAAAATCTCTTACCTCTCATGTATTATAAATAAAATACAAATTCAACAAATCTATTTTTAAAAATTGCGTACTAGATAAGAAACATATTTATTACATTCTTTGATTATTGAATATATGATCATTATGTGAATCTTTGAATTCTTGAGAGTCTAAAAAGTTATAATTTTTCATTTATTTACCGATCTTCCGCTGGTTTAATTAAGGGATGCATTTAGTATAATCGGTATCATATAATATTATACGGACGTGGAATATATCTTTATGGGAATGCTTCATGTATGAATGTTTTGCTTCTTGAAGCCCTTAATTTTTGAATGAAGCTTTGCTTAAATAAAGAAGAAATAAATCGCTACATAAGAGTATGTCGTACGCAAACGTTTATAAACTCATTCATTCAAACATACATTTCGAAAATGATATACTTTTTTTTCTGGATTTTTTAATATTTAACAGGATTATTGTTACCCGGCGGACTCGTTGGGTAAGGTGCTCTATTTTGTTGATAAAGCTGAGCAAAGGGTTAACAAACTGGTGAGATTTCACACCGCTTGCCCCGGCTAACTCGTCACTAAAAATATATTATAACAACCAATATGCTCATCCGATTTGCATGCTTTCTTTATAAATGCTACCAAAAACGACCGAATTCATTAATACATTGATTATTTATCGCTACTGCGAAAAAAAAACAATTTTCTTTTTCGTTATGCGATCATAGTACAATATTCCACATTTCATAGAAGATCTGAATAAAAGAGCTGAATGGAAGAGCTGAATATTCGTATCAATAAGTTTCTCTCTTTTTCTAAAAGCAACATACAATAATCAAACTTGCTATGATAGATTTATACCTAGAAGAATTTTTAATAAATATCTATTTGAGAGAAAGATTCATGTGACTCTAAATAAGAAAAATTAAAATTGAGCACAGCGACTAATTTTATATTTGCCGAGATTGGCTCCCACGAAAGAATATATTTGAGATATATTTGATAAAAACATTCAGTTAAATAGCTTATAGCTATTGAAATAATGCAAAGGCAAAATACGACTAAAATAACATTCACAGACTTGCTCTTCTAATGTTTCTGACATCTTGTCATTAATAAAATCGTCTATTACCAGTTTCACACCCTTTTCTTCTACGACTTCATGCAATTGCTTATGATTTCAAGATTTCATTAAAAATGTGGGAAATTTCAGGACTGAGTAAGAGCTTTGATAAGTCATTAAGTTTAATAGACCAAAACTTTTTTAAAATATGTCTTCGAAAATTGTACGCTCTGAAATCAAAAGATATATTAATATTATTCTTTTTCACAATTATTGTTCTGCAGTTCGGTCCCACAATGTTTCCGACATCTTGTACAGTTTTGTATCATAACATGTGCGACTAATAATATCTATAACAAACATTATAAGATATAGGCTGTGTTCGAAAACATCACCTGTGTGCACACAAGCGTCGTTCTATCTTTGTTATTTACTAAAAGTTGAACAAAGATAGAACGACACTCGTGTGCACATGGGTGATGTTTTCGAACGCAGCCTTATCATATATTTGCATAATCTCGTTTGTTTTGTCTTGCTTTGAACGTTTATTACATCGAAAGTGATCTGATTTTTATTGATTCTCTTGCAATTCAATATGCGCATCATCATGCGTACATGCGTTTATTTTATTAGCGGGATTTTTTGTCTACAGGTTTATCATGTTGCCGAAGGCCGTGAAAAGAATCCGAGATTCTTCGATGACGATTTAGAAGATCATCAACCCTTCCCTACGCTGCAAACCGCACTCCAGGAATTGGAGCTGCACGTTGGATGCAACATCGAAATTAAATGGAACATGCAATTGAAGGTGAGAATATTTCTGATGATATGCGGTATTTCTTTCTGATAGTGAGATATAAATTAAGATCTTTTTTTTGTCGTTATATAGGACGGCACGTTCGAGCTTAATCATCCCTTTGATCTCAACATATATCTAGATATCATTCTGAAGGTGGTATTGGAATACGGAGGCAATCGAAAAGTCGTGTTTTCCTCGTTCAATCCGGATATTTGCGCGATGATCCGTCTCAAACAAAATAAATATCCAGTAGTATTTCTAACGCAAGGCGTTACATTGAAGTATCCCACTTACCACGATCCGAGATGCCAGACGATACCGATGGCCATGAGACATGCGTTAGCCGCGGACATTCTAGGAATTAATGTCCACACGGAAGATATTCTTCGAGATCCATCTCAAGTCAAGTTGGTTAAGGACGCGGGATTAATCATATTTTGTTGGGGCGATGATAACAACGATAAGGCCACTATCCAGCATCTGAAGAAACTCGGTTTACACGCAGTCATATACGATAAGTAAGTAACTCGACAAGCACCAGCGAATAGTAGTTCAAAAGAGAGCCGATAATTTGATAAAATCAGAAAATATGAGACGAAGAGAATTATTTTATTTGAGAAACTTTTCGAAATATCCATTTAATAACTATTTTTAGAATGGACGAATATAACCCAAAAGAAGTGAAGGAAAGTATATTCTTGGTGGATGCTAGAGAAAGCCAAAAAGAGCTGATAGCCTTGGCACATTGCAGTCAAACGCCACAGACACAAATCTCTACTCCTCTCAACACAGAGAAGGTAATTATTTTTCATGTAATAGATATTATTTGATATAATATGTAATATATACACACATACAAAGATGTACTTAAATTATATAGCACTCGGAACACAGATCCTCTTATTAGTTACTTTACAAAGATTTTAAAGATTTAAGCAGATCCTTTTTTTGGAAAAATATTCCATTTTGCATAAAAATTTGTCAAATTTAAGACTAAATAAATTATTTCTAAAAAATTATATCCTTTGAAAAAGATATATTTCTTTTTACGGTTACAATATATATGTATATACACACATACCTATATAGTATAACTGAATCTGAGAGCACAATAAAATTCACAATTTTATGAGAAGCATAAAAATATAAATTTAGAAAAATAATATTGATAATATTATTAAAGTTAGATTCAGAAATAATTTTAATAATACTTTAGGAATATTACTTGGACCGACCGTCGACGACCACATCGCTCGCGAAGAACAATGTAATTAACGGCGATAATATATATTCCGCACCGACCTTAGAAGCTAACTGCGAAGAAAACAGGGAGATCAACGAGATAACCAAGGATTTCAGTACCTGTGCAAATACTTTTGGCAACTCGGCGACAAATACGAAAAATGTCTCTGATCTAATGTGCGGACCGACTGCTCTACCTGAAATTTACGGAGAGGATGAGACCGCGAAGGATTGCCTTTGATGCTTTTCCTTCAAGAAGCCCTTCTTCTCATGGTTTTGATAGAGACGTATTACTCTCAATGGAGAGGAGTCTATGCGATGCGACGACAGGAAAAACTTGTTTTCTAACTTGCGCTATATTTGTAGCTGATAAGCCGAAGTATTACCGAGATTGTTACTTTAAAGTATAATATGCGATACGCGAAGAAAAATCATCCGATTTCTCTCTTACGATGATATTCCTTTAATCGGTCCATTTTTCTCGCGTATTGTACAGCATGTGTCGGAAAAATTTTATAACCGGAAAAATTTGTTTAAAAATTTGAGATCGATATTTCTTTAACGAGAATAATTTGGAGATCATAAATATGTTATTTGATTTATGTATCGGAAAGTCTAGAATTCTCAATCTAAATACAAAGGATTTCCAACAATTTCGAAATCTTAACAACAACAAATAAACTTTAGACATATAAGACCTTCTAGACCTGTACAAATTTTAAAATTCAATTTTTTATTGGATTCAAAAACTGAAATATAAGCTTTTACAAGGATGCATCATGCAAAGATTTAGAAATTTAAGAATCTAGCAATTCGAAGATCCGAATACTTAAAACTATAAGAATCTAAAAATATATATAGTTTCATTAATATAGTTTATCAATTAATTATCAGGTTACATTTTCTCTAATAATAAAAATCGAATGCACGTTTCGGCGTAGTGTGTTTCCTAGTATCCTGTATGCATCCTAATACTTTCTAACAAGGATCTTTTAAATGCTAATGAATCCGACGCAGGCTGTAGAAAACGATTCTAACTCCCGCGTATCTACGCTCGTGACAAGGAGCTGGCGCGAGAGTTATGTTTTTAGTACAAATGTCTTCAGGTATATGTCTTTATTTAGAATTGAGGAAGAAACAAGAACATTCTCTCCTTCTCTCTTCCGCTTTATCGCTATTCAAATATTATAATACGAATCGAGAAAAAAAAGAAAAAACAGACAAAAAAAGCAAGTCCCTTGTACTTTACGAGAGCGCGATATCATTAATTGATACATTTTTTACAAGCTGTCGAACGAAAAAAAAAATATACAAAGGCGAGAGCGAATGATCGCGCCTCACTTTTTCGAATTGCCTTTTTGACAGCGGCATCTCACGTTTTAAGATCGTACAGTAAACTATTTTTCGTAGTTAGATAGAATAGGGGTATTACTTCATATTCATTTATTTGTATCGTTCAACAATGTGGGACAAGGCGCTTTATTCGATCAATGTGAGCATGATCGAAGAAAATAAATAAAAATCTTTCAAAAAAAACACGCATATTTTTTAAATTTTGTTTTCTCACATTTTTAGCATTGACGAGTGCTCATTCTGATTAGCTTTATAATATTGCTGCGAATAATTTGTGGTCTTTTAGTGATCGTGTCACACAACTTGACGGACGCTCGTTCAGGTCGACTGTTTGTTCGAGCGATTTGTCGTATCGGGTAAACTTGAAAACATCGGGAACAGCCTCTCGCGTCTTTAACGCACTAAGTGCGATTGAAAGCGTTAAGTGCATAAAGCATAAAGCATTCGCTTTCTAGAAACAGTTTCTCGAGTACACAATGTTCCTAAAAAAAAGAAGGAAGATAACGCTAATCCTTCAACCGATAGCTTTGCCCATCCGCTGATGATACGAACGAGCCAAGCTCGTTGCACCGTCCGCTTCAATTTTTGATATCACAATAATTCGCATTCTTTATCGAAACAAGCGAAATATTTCGCTAGGGATAAATGGAAAGAAAATAGAAGTTGATAAAATTAGATTACTTTTGAATCTTTGGACAGTGAAATTCAAATTAGATTATCCCTTGAACTCTCTCTGACACATTGAAACAAAATAAATTAAGGAATCTAGATATCGAGGAAACACGTATAAACGTATATTATAGAACATTTCGCCAACTAATTTCGTTAAAAGTAAAGAAAATATAGATTTTTAAAATAATTATTAAAATATAATAATTAAAAATAAAGAGAGAGAAAATATACTCTAATTGTTATAAAAATATTATAATAATGTATTATACCACGAATATAACGTGTGTGTCATAGTACGTCTATACTGTTATAATAATTTAATAATATACAATAGCTAATGTGTTAATATTACACTGTAATAATAATAATAATACAATACTATTGTGTAATATCGGGACTGGGTCGACACATCGCAGCGCAAAGAGTTGATCTATTGGTTGAGGAAAGTTCAATGAGAGAGGTACATATATCAGGTCTACCGGAAAGTTCTGTCCGTTTTTGGAATAATGCGTGTGCACCCATACAGCGTGAAATATTGTAGTGACATTGCCGCAATGTTCTATGCTGTATGGACATTGTAAGGCAGTAAAAAGTTATATACCGGCTATAAAGCGATTGTATCAATCGTCGAGATAATGTACAGTACATTTGTTGACGGATAATAGCAAATATACAATCTGTGTATATTATTACGAGAGATTATCCTGCTGCGCTATATGCGGGGACGTTTACTTTTGTGTTTACTTGTCTTATTTTTATCTTATCTTAATATCTTTTTTTTTCCAATCTATCTTTTTAAATCTATGCATCCAATGCGAATGGTATCGCAATAAGTCGGCGTGAAAAATCTTCGACCATATATATAAATCAAAAGGTTAACCATACGCATGTTGAAGAAATCGATAGAAGTCGGGTATATAATTATTTTTTTATAGAAAAAAAATGGCAAAAAATACGATAACGACTGCACATTTAATAATAGTATGATATCATTAACATTACAATAAACGTAAACAACAAAGGCTTCGCTTATTTGAGAGAAGCTCATGATTTAAACATCATGTTTTTATGTTGCATGCAACATATATCTTGCAACTACAGTAAATTCAGTTTTATACGTATAATTAAATCTTTGTATAAGACATTATTCCTATTTTATTGATTTTTTTTTTTTAAATACAAGTTTTGCCTGAGATGGGATGGAAAAGAGAAATTAAATAATTATTGTAAAATGAGAATCTCTCGAATAGAAAATTTCGATCAAAATTGTAATGTACTCAAAGCCGACACTTATAATTGACTTTAAAAAATACGTAATCGAAAACTATTTTGTTTTTTTTACTATATATATATTCAATGTTAAAAACTTATCAATAAGCGAACTTTAAAAGTATTGCAAAACTGACTTATCGCGACTAAAATATTTCGGTCTCCGAATTGTTTAACAGTTTAATCAGTAAACTTCGACCATAGTTAAGATTTCTAAGAACACCTTTATCTATATATATATTTTATCATTTCTATCTTGTTGTTTACGGTAAACATATGCAAGGATCGAGAGAAGAAGTGAAATTATTTATTCTTATCGAAATAATAAACCATTTGTATCACATCATTATGCCTCGCAAATTAATATTTTAGTTGTTCTAAAAAGTTCCTGATCATTGCCTTTTCTCCCTCCCTTTTTATGTTCTTATTTTTAAATATAGTATTAAAATAAAGACGAAATTTTTTACGAATTATCTCCATGTTGAATGTACGAATAAGTATAATCGTAAGAAATATTATATCTTTATATTATCTGAACTCAAAATGAAATAATTTTGGTGTCATCAAGCACATATACGCACTAACACGCAATTGCGAATTAAAATGTTTTGATGAATTCTCGATAACTGGTTAAATTTTAATGTATTAATATAATACATATGTGTTTATCAACGTGCGTTTTTTTTATAAATAATTTTTATATTTTGTCAGCAATTCAAGATTGAAAGATGTAACTTTTGCAATTATTTGGTGAGAAGTGGAATATCTTGCTAAAATCTTTCACATATCTATAATATATATTTTTTCAAAAATACTTGGGGTTCTGACGTCAAAATATCGAAAGTACGCCATCGTGGAATTCAACCGGGAAGCTCCGAGCTCCGATAGCGCGGAATCGGCGTAGATATCGGAGTATCGTTAACGTCCTTACTGGTTCCCCCTCCTCCTCGTCCCCCTCTCTGAATAAGCACAATCATAAAAACCGAGGCAATCGAGGTGTCAACGACGAGGCGAGGCACCGTGCAGGCTGGAAGTTTTTGTATGACATTTACGTCACGCCCGTCTGACATTTCGTGCTCGACGCGCGGGTTTCGCGATCGTGACAAAAAATTTAAGGTTACCGTCAGCAGCTTTTGTCGAGCAAACTCCGGCAAGGCAAAGCCCGCGACTCTCCTTCCGCGATGTTTTGATTCACGCTCGCCGTTCCGTGCTCTTTCCC